CACTACCTTCCCCTTCCCCAACCACATCAACAAACAAACTACGGGCCGCACACCCGTAATGTGCCCTCACGGTAAGGCAAAAGTGCATGGAGGTTACGCACCTCCACAATAGGTCGGAGTGGTGCAGTGAGGCTCGTAGCCACGTCATAGCCGGGCGATATTACCTCGCCCGGGCTCGTAGCCGTTCGACTGTTCCAGCGGGCAAGGTCCTACTTGTAGTGTGAACGAATACTCTACTACGAGCATACTCACAGCCCGACTTGTTTACGTATTTGTGGGCGTAATTGCGGTGAGATACCTCCAGGTCGGGCCGTAAATAAACACGGTCCGAACGACCCGGCGTTCTATTGGGGCGAAGACGGTGGTGTGGGTATACCCGGAGGCCCGGAGGGACTTCTCCCGCACTCTATATTCCTGCGAAACTCACACAATTCATGGTTGGCTCCTCCTTCTTGAAGATCGTGTGAGGAGGTCGTCTCGCACCTCTGCTGTGAATGCGGAGGTTCCGCGCCGCCTCCCCTCCTACCTCAACCAGCGCCGACTCATCGCGCCGGTCATCGCGCCGGTCATGGCGCCCCCAGCCCCGTGACTTCACCTTCATTTCATGCAAGCGTCGAGTTTTGCTCTTGATTAATTAACAAGGAGGAGAGCACAGCTGTCTGAGATCGGCAGGCAAGGACACCTGCCTGAGAAGTTGTGAGAACAGCAAGCAAGGCGGGGAAGTAGCTGCAATATATTGATGGGAAAATCAACGGTGATATAGAAATAGATATGTATATTTAATGCGAGGTATATTCTCGCAAAAACATAAAAATCAAAATGCTAGATACTATATCCATGCGGCTAGCCGACCAGCCAACCAGCCAACCAGCCAATCAGCCAGCCACAGCCAGCCAGCAAGCCAGTCGGTCAGCCAGCCAGTTTCTCGTCAGCCAGCCAGCTAGTGAGTCGGCCAGCCAGCCAGCCAGCCAGTGAGTCAGCCAGCCAGTGACTCAGCCAGCCAGCCAGTGAGTCAGCCAGCCAGCCAGCCAGACAGCCAGCCAGGTAAGGTAGCATTTAACTGGCCGGGCGTGACCAACTAGAGGTTCTCAGCAGGCGCACACACACACACACACACACACACAGAGAGAGAGAGAGAGAGAGAGAGAGAGAGAGAGAGAGAGAGAGAGAGAGAGAGAGAGAGAGAGA